TTCTGAGCATATAGGGTGGTAAAAACATTGTCTATTAATTCCATTATCCCAATATTTCTATGATCTGGATGAGCGCCAATTGTGTTTGTTTTTGTTTTGTAAATATCATATCTCATTAGGCGTACTTAATGAATTCAGAGATACTGCCGTGGTTGGTTGATCAGAAGTTACTTCTTGTGTCAAAGAGAGGCTGCAGTAAAGATCCAAAGTGCTGTTCGATACATCATATGCCGTCAGGCATTTCATCGTTGTAGACAAGCTGCAATGAAAATTCAACCGATAGTCAGGGGGCAGATTAGTCGAAATAGGCTCTTAGGTATATTAGTACAATTATCCCGAATGGTTCTAGTTGTGAGTTAAATTTTACTTATAGTTTAGAAATGTTTATGGTTTTGATTTGTTGCAGGTGCTTCTTCCCTACGTCCAGTCATCTCCAATGGTTGTATTTCAAAGAGCACAGGAGCCTTCTATAAGAGTGCTGAACTAAATAAAGTCTTTTGCTCTGTGTTGAAATTGCAAAGGTGGTGGAGAGGTGCTATGTTGCTAAAGTTAAGAACAAAGTCTGCAGTCATTATTCAGTCTCATATTCGAGGGTGGTTGGATAGGCAAAAAGCTACTGGAGAGAAGCAATGTATTGTTGTAATACAAGTAAGATATTCTATATTTGTTGCAATTTACCATATCATACCATTTATGTTTTTGTTCCCTTAATTTCTTTTATTCTGTGGATCTCTAATGTCACTTGATGTGGCCAAAGTGGTACCAGATGGGCTCTCACACATATACTTGTTTCATGTAATAGTCCGTGTACATTTCTCATGATTTTGATTTGACATGAATGTAAAAGCATGTTTTAGCAGTTAGAAATGTTAAACTAGTTGAATTGGATTTTCGGAATTCGGCAAATTTAAAAATAAAAATAAAAACTGTTTTGAGTGACAGTCATGGTGGAGAGGTTACTTGGCAAGGAAAAAAGAGACAGGAGGTGAGCTACTGGATTTGCGCTTGAGAGTGCAAAAGTCTGCTGCGAATGTGGATGATAGCATGCGCATTATTAACAGACTTGTGGCAGCACTTTCAGAACTACGAACAATGAAAAGTGTCAGTGGCATTCTTCATACTTGTGTTACTTTGGGTAAGTGTTTAATAATTGTATGATGCTAAAACTCCATTTCCAACATCTTGTCTTTCCATTTCTCCTACATGAAATCGAATTCTTGCGTTATACACTTACTTTTGAATCTTATTTACAGACAAGGCTACACAACATTCTCATAAATGTTGTGAGAAACTTGTGGAGGCAGGAGCTATTAAAACTCTGCTGAAGCTTTTTCGGTCAGCCAGCCGAAGCATACCTGATCAGGAGGTTCTGAAGCACGTCCTCTCAACTCTAAGGAACCTTGCCCGCTATCCACATCTGGTTGAAGTGCTCGTTGATAGTCCTGGGTCAGTAGAAACTGTTGTAGGGGAGTTCCTAAGGTTCGTATTATTTTGGAAGTTAGATTGTATGGGGCCTTTTTGTCATCTTGGGTTAAGGGCTATAACCTAATTTAATATCAGGAACAAGGAGGAGGGTTATTTCATTGCTTCTGAGCTTCTGAAGAAGATATGCGCTAGTCGTAAAGGCGTTGAAGCTGTACGCAAATCACCTGCCCTTTTGAAAAGGCTCCACAGTCTTGTTGAGGAACTTAGCAAGAAGGCCAACAATGAGAAGAGGTTGGATTTCAGCAAAGAATCTCTCTTCTTTTATGTGATCTGTGTTATCAGTTGAGCTTTAAGCCTTAGTGTTATCTTAATGCAGGAACGCCCGAGTTACAGTTGGTAGAGAATATACAGAGAGAAGATTAAAGGAGGCTGTTGAAATTCTGAAACTGGCCACTGCAGGAGGGCTAGGTTTTTGAGTTTGCAGGCACTGTGTAAAAACCTTTGTTTTGTTAGGATCTGATGTGCATATTTGCAATTGAATTTACACGTTCAATGGGGAAAAGAAGGGGTAAGGGCAGGGCAATTTGATTGCGTAGGGTAAGAACTTATGACGTATCTCAAATTGAATGCTTGGTTTTTACCACTGTACAAAGTTGGTGCAATGTGATGTTGAAAGCACATGGTTTTCAGCCAACGATGGTTTGGGTGCCGGGGTAAGTCTCCCGCTCGAGATTGTGGGTTTGCCCTGGTGGTGAGATTAGCCAAACTCCTCCAAAACTTTTATTAAACAAAAAGTAAAAAAAAGTCAACGGGTTTCTTATGAGACATTGCATCTTGTGGTCCCATGACTGCCGCCCGCAAATTATCTTCTCGAGTTCAATTCCCAGCAGATTCCCGATCCGCCTCGGAAAATATCTACCACAATAAATTTGACTGAACAAAATCCTTTTCGTAAATGTGGCCAACTGTGCAAGTTATCTGTTTGGTTTGATTGGGACGTGACGTAAGATATTTTTTGGCACTAGTTTTATCCTCTTTCTT